TATATATATGTAAAAAAAAAATTCTTAAAAACTTCAAATTCTATTGTTTGCAGTCTTAGTACAATAATATTTACAGAAAAACAGCTTTAAAAGTTTATACTCAAACACTGATATGATCAAGTAAAAATATGAATAAACACAAAGTGCCCCCCTCCCCCCAAATATACCCATCCTTTAAGTTTCTGTTAACTTCTATATATCAATTATATATGTTTTATTTGTATTTCAGATAATATTGGAGGATGTCTAAAAATAAACCCAAAACCATTGACGAATTAAAGCAACAGATCATAAATGTTTTCCCATCAAATCAGAGATTAAAACTGTAACAGCATGTCAAGAGCACAGTTGTAGAGTTCATAATTGTTTGAATGCTGGTTGAGCATCTCAAGTGATGCAGTAGTGTACGTACAGTAAATTTGTTGTACGAAATATTAATAAAAAATTGTTTTCCTGGCTTGTAGGTTCACGTACTATAATTATATGTACTTTAATTACTCTTGAGCTACAATAATTAGTGATTATGGCTTCACTCACTACCAAAAAAAAAAAAATGGTTAGTCCTAGCCATTGTTATAAATAGTAACACTTCTATGAACACTTGGGGGGCTAATTAATGTAACATGACTTAGATACTAGCCACTGTTAGAGAGGATTGTACAGCTTTGCATATACTAAAATGTTATTTTTCTAGGAACAGCAAATTACTGATAATACATGAAAAAATAACCAGTTTTACAAATTTAGCATTTTGTTAATGTTAACAGTAAATGTATGTGTATACACAATTTTATGTTAAAGTGTTAGCTTTGAATGTGGAATAAATCTATTAATTAAAGCTGAGCAATTAGTTAATTTTAAGATCAACAGGAGTCAAACTAGTCAAACATTGTTAAATATAGATTATGGCCAAAGTATCAATAATAGCATTGTACCCAAATAATAAAATCATTTATGATTATAACCAAGATATTCAGGTGCATTTCCTACCCATGGAAGGGAATTGTAACTTATATATATATTAAAAAAAAAAAAAAATTACTACTGTACTCATCCATTTGTTCAATTTCCTCTCCAAACTAATAAAGGCCTGTCTGCATTAGTAGTCCTTAACTTTGAAGTGATAGACTAGAGGAAGAGCAGCTAGTCAACACCACCCACTGATAACTATTGGGCTACTCTTCCCAACAAATATTAATATTGACTGTTGCATCAAGAATCCCCTGCAACCGAAAGGTTGAGGATATTCAACAACAGGTTTTGATCCTATAGACTGAAAGTCGAGCACCCTATTCCATCAAGCCCCATTGTACTGATCTAATTTGCTAAACATCCAAAATGGATAACTTACTCTTTTTTTTTTCAAGACTTTGCTCACCTCAATAACAAGTGAGTAAATATATATATATATTTATTTATTTATTTTTTTAGTATAAACACCTTTTGCACCTATTCCCCTTTTACAAAACTTTTTAATACTGCATAGAAAGACAATATTTATTTGTGATCAAAGGTTTATTTTGTCCGTTTCAAAAATGCTTCATTTCACTACATCTACTAACAAAACGAAACAACAAAAACAACAACAAGAAATTTAATCTCATTATTATTCCCAACAAATACCTTTAAACTTGTAAATACAAACCAACATAATCACTATTTCAACAGTTCTAAATCCACATGTACAACTTAACTAGATAAAGTACACACCACTTACCAAAAGTCATAAAGGGGGCCTCTCGAGATTTCCTGGCTAATTTCTGAGTTTGAGATTCTCCCTCAAACTGACTTGGGTCAAACACAGGCTTCTCCATAGCTGGTACATTTTCAGTGTTACTCATTTTTAACTCGGATTAATTTCCTTCCTATGTAAAAGGATCAAAACTAAATAATCAAACTCAAAGAAACCTCAACAGTTTCATATAATAAAGCAATAACCTCCTACTCATAAAAATGGGAATTTATTTGGACCTAGCTGTTTAAAACTTACTATAATTGTAATTTATATCATAACTAAAAAAAAACATTCAATAGATCACTTCTTATATATAATTTTGACCAATAAGTTATACGTTAATCTATTTAAAAAAAATGTATAAGAAGCACCAGCACACAGTCTTATCAAGTTAGAAATTTTCCACGTGAAAATTCAGACGCCAAGAATCGAATCTGCTCTTCGCATCATTCGAAGTCTTAACAGACGCAATTTTGCATGGCTGTACGAGTTTAACTACAACATATCTCAATATCACCCAGAATCCATTCATTGCTATATTTTTTAATTAAAAATGCCAGGGTATTAGTTTATTTAGCTTCAGACGCGACCGACAAATTAAATAAGTATTATATAATTTACGGAAGAAGAATTACTTACTCTGTATACAACTACAAAAGATGTTAAAATGTCTTCTCGTTCTATCCTGTCCGAACCTACAGTTACTTCGAAACTTTTATAAATACCAATGTATCTCGTGCGCTCCCTACACGCCGTTGTACGTACTAAAGCTGCTGGGTTACAAATTTGAATATGCTCATCTTTCACACTTTTGATACTATAACGTCAGATTCTGCGCAGAGTTTCAATTGTTATTGGTGAAGGTGAACACGTTAAAGAGAAAAAAAGGGGAATGAAATTATAAATGTATTTGTTCACATAAATGTCAATTAAAGATGAAGCAACCCAAGTTCCCGAAACAGGATAAATAACCTCTTGGCAGAAGACGAGACACATAAAACTGACTTGAAACACATTAAATCATTTTTAATGGAGGGCTTTGACTTTTTCTTGTAGGTCTGCCCACAAGACATCCGAATATAAAATATCGTTTAACAAAAATTGTTTAATTGATATTTAAAAGTAATCATTTCAAAAGCTTCTTAGCAACATAGGTCTATAAGTTAAATAATTTATTCACCAGTGTTCTTGTATACGTTTGCTTGTTATTGGTAGCATTTAAGAGTTTTATATTTAAAATATGCAAATAAACGTTTTTTTTTGTTTTATTTCAACTTTATATGGAGAAACAAGACTTCTGGCCGTTCAGTATGCTTGAACACGTTATGGTTGTGCTAAAGATATTTGTTACTCTGTTAATCTGCAAGTAGATTTGGCTGCTCGAAGACTCTCTGTATCCTTTTTTATCGTGCTTTCATAATCGCTGAGAAATATTCGTATTCATACGTTGTTTGAGAAACCTTCCAAGTTATGCCATCTTTGCGACCATGTCTTTTAAACAGCGTCTGAAAAGCCATTACGAATCTATAATTATCAAAGTCTTTAGCTCTCTTAATCTCAAGTTTCACAACCATCTTACTTTCCTACCAAAATGGTAGAGGAACACCATTATTCTTCGAGCTCTAAGACTAGCCCACAAACCTCTCTTGCCATCTAAGTAAATCAAGAATATTCTCGAAAGAATCTCCCAACAACTCCTTCAAGTCACAATCATGGTCTTCCGGAATGATAAACTGAAACAGAAGATAGAAACGACATAAATATATAAAAGCCAAAATATTCAATAGTAAACACCTTTCTATTTCGTACCCATAATTTTATTGACCGTACGATGTAACAATAACATCGCAGTGTAAATATTAGTTTCTCCATTTTTTGGAATAATATCCGTGTTGTTAACATTTAGAAATTTGTATGTGTGTTTCTTAGCAACATTCACTCGTAAAATAAGTCACAAAACAAAAAACCCTTGAAATGAGCTATAGATAATGGATATAACACTTGCTTACATATTTTCTTGCATGTATCAGTCGGTGGGACAGCGGTAAGTTTATGAACTTACAATGCTAAAATCTGGGGTTCGATTTCTCGCGATGGACACATCCGATAGTCATATATGGCTTTGCTTTAAAACAAACAAACTGATTTCTTGCGTGGAGCTATTACTTTCTGATTTTGTTATGAAACTTTCTACTAACATTATTTCCTTATGAATTTGGAAAATGTTAACTCATACGTTCCTAGAAGAGAAATGGTGAACCCTTTATCGAAAACACTTTACTTCTTATATATTTTAACTGCTAATATATATATATTTATATCTCTGTGTGTGTATATATATTGATAACATAAGTATAGAATACCTCTTTTATAAACTTTATTTATTTATTTTTACTGAAATCTAAGCAGTGTCAGAATCATTTTATTTTTCGTCATCTCCTTTACTACCACATTCACTTTCTGTTTTATTTTTACTGGCATGAATTTCTAGTATTGGCTACTTGCTGCTAGAGGGCGATTCGTGAAATCAAAAATGGCAGTTCATTCAGGTGTAAAAGGAAAGCTTATCGGGGTTATTGGTGATGAGGTAATACATTTTTTGGCACATTATTAGCTAATCAAAGCCACATGGTGTAATAAATAATGTATAATTATTTGAAGAGTTTATTTAACTGGATAAATTCTGGGTCCAAATGCAGTTAAAATACTAGCTATGGCTTTTGAGTTTCACATTTTCAGTGAGCTTTAGCATTTGATGATCACATGACTAAGTAAAAGTACAAACGAAATATCGTGTTAAGTGTACTTTTGACTGTAGTATAGAGTATCAGTACAAAATTCAGGCCTAATGATATGTTTTTAATGATTTACTTAATCGTTGTGTTTTGATACCATATTTTGTTCGATATGAAAACATCAAGGTTGTTTCTGCTTGTTATAATCTTTAGTAACTAATGTAATTATAACTTGTTTTTAATGTATTGGTAAGTTATTTATGTTTACACACAAGAATATTACATTTTCAGTTATTTATAATAATCAGTATATCTTTCCTCCTTATTTTATGATTAAGTACTCTGAGCTTACATTAGTTCATTAAAATATTCAACATTACAGTAATCATACTATATTACTCCTTTGATAACCTGTAGGGAGACATAAAAGTTAAAAGTAGTTTGAAGATGATGTTGTTAATTTTGAGTCTTATGTGTGCCATGGTTCATAAAAGCTTGCAGAAACATTAAAATACCACTCTGAAAATCTAAATAATAAAGAAATATTTTCCCAGAAGTTTATTGGGTGAATGTATGAAATTTAATTGAAAATGTTGAGTTATACCTAGAAGGACAATGGAATCAGGAATTATCCTTAAGTAATTGGTAAAGTCTTCAACAAAACATAACTTTCAGCTTTTTTTGCTTCTTGCTATGCCAATATCGCACTTAATAAAACACAGTGAGGATATTACAAACAGATGACAGAAGTATATTTTGAGTATTTAAGTAAAAATATATAAAACTATGGGTCCCAGAAATTTATAGTTCCTGGCCACAGAAGTGTGTAAATGTGAAATCTCACATAAACAAAATTCTAATAACTGTACACCAAAAAAACAAATGAAAACATCTACAGTACTAATACACGCTGTAATTTATTTCAAGGCAACTATACTCCACTAGTTGTAAATTAGCTTTAAAACATCACAATGATTGCTAAATCCATCATCCATCATTTGTCTGTGATCAGAGGGAGAATGCTGGACAAATGAGGACCAGTGATACATCAAACGATAGCTCTCTTCATGCTCTACTTTGGTCTGGCTGGTTTCATTGGATCCAGAAGCATTTAATATTTGAAGACAAAAAAACTTTAAAACCATTTTAGTCATTGTATTTGTAGAAACAAGGCCATACAATAAACTTTGTGATGCAGATTACATAATGTATAAAGTGATGCATAGATATGTTGGCTTAATTCAAACTGACAACAAGTCAAAAAATGATGAATGGGGATTCTAAACAGCCTATGCAATGTCCTGGCAAGTGCTTGATTTTTGTCATATCATTGGGCATAAACACACATAAATTGTCCTAACAGTTTGCTATACATACTATTGTTGAGTGTTGCTATAACGAAATAATGTGTGCTGCAATAGTCTGTGATAAAACTGGTATGAATGATGTATCAATTACATCATGACAACGTGGAACAGGTAAAGGTTACTACTGATACGTATATGTCAATAACGGTATTTCAAGTTCACAACCAATGTGATTACAAAACCCCTCGTATACTTTCATAGGGACATAGGTAGGCTCATACTTTATTATTAACATTTGATTATTGACAGTTTTTGTTTCATTTATCCATATAATATGAATACACGTAGATGTTTGCAGTTGATGGACTTTACTGGGACTACGTTTTATCTTGCCGTGACATTTGTGTCACGCAGTATCAGGTAAAGAGATAATTGGATATCAGTTGCTGACATTTTGTTAACATTGTTCTAATGGGTAGGTCGCATGGAGTGAAAGGTCAAAATTACAGGTATGATTTTTAAATGTTTTTTCATTAATTATTATCTACATAATTGAACTTGAAGTGTAAATCCACTAATTTGTGACTGCAGAATCCAATTGTGTGTGATTTGTTTTTTGTTATTTTCATTATTTAAAAACCACTGAAACCCCCTAATAAAACAAACTGTACTCTGTTGAACTAATTAAATTCATTTTACAATGAAATCAGCAAAACATTTAAGATAACAAATGTATTACTTTACATCAAAATACTATTGCAGGTCAATCAAAGTAAAGGCAACAAATATGAATGCCAGATTTGTACAGTACAAACACAAACTCATAATTATATACTACCAGAGATAGAAATTAATGCTAGAAAATTGCTGGTTAGTGTTGCAGTTTTGCTAATAAAACTTAGGAGGCAGTAGAAGAGAATTGCTAGTACATATTTCAGAAGAAACATTTGCCTATTTATTGTCAAGAATCAATATACTTCTAATACATCTGTCTCAGTCATTTATACTGGAAGATTTTGAGTACAGAATATTACTATCACTCTGATTTTTTCTGAGCCTATTCCCATTGTAACATAGTCTTTACTGTCTAAAATGTCATACAAAATAAAACTAGAAAAGTTTTATTTAAATATATCAGTTTACTCTTTATTGTCTTTTATCCCAATTTTCATTGCTACGTGTTTCAGAACATTGTTTTTTTTTAAATTAGAAGACTGATTATTTATTTGAAATTGAGTCACAGCATGAAAGACAATAATTGAGATTCCCTTTTACAGTTTGCAACTCCTTATCATAGAAACTTTTTCAGTTTTTAATTTGAAACAACTGTTTGATACGCTACTTTTAATTTTATTTTTGCTTTTTAAAATATTAGTACATTTAATTGTTGAAAATAAATTGCATTTGAACAATTCTTGAATTTCATTGAAGAAATGCAATTACTATAATTATCAACCTAAACATTTGTCAATGAAATTAAAGGCAAGAAACTTCCTTTTATTAATCTGTAAAATGTGTTATCAGGTGATTAATACTTAGTGATTGCTAAGTTTGGTCTATGAGCTAAATGTAGTTGATGATGTTGAAATGATATTTTAACTGTGTGACATGCATCACCCATTGTTACTAGTGCATGTTTTTTCTTTGTTTCATTGGTGATGTTGATATTATTTTCCTTTAAAAGGGAAAAATTATTTTTTAAATTTCAAAAACATAGAAGTTTATCAGTTATAAAATATAATGATATTAGCAGTTTTTAATATTAATTGATCAAAGAAATTATAAATATTCCATTGCAAAGCATTTTGTTTCATTATTATTGTACAAATTCATATATTTTGAGAATATTGATGAGTTTTTATATACGCATAAAACATTTAAGTTGTGCTTAAAGTAAATTTAATATATTTTTTATAACCAGGATACCTGTGTTGGTTTCCTTTTGGGTGGCATAGGAGAAATTAACAAGTCACGACAACCAAATTTCATGGTGGTTGACAAAAGTAAGTATTTCGTGTCCAAATTTTGTTCAAAATGGTGCATTTTATGAAATGTGAATTTTTCATTTAACAGTTTGTAACATACTATTTTGATCTTAAAGAAATAAGCTTCTTGTTTCTTTATTTTTTTATATTTAAAATTTTTGCATGTCCTCGAATAATGGGCGGGTGCCAGGAGATTGAAATCTGGCTAATGTAACTCCTCTTTTCAAGAGAGGCGATAAAAATTGTCCCAGTAATTGTAGACTTATTAGTCTTACATCAGTGGTTGGAAAAGTTTTTAAAAGTGGTAAACGATGACTTGCAAATGCAAAAAAAAAGATTTTAAAGAAATAAAATTTATTTAGATAGTCAATATAGTTCCACTAGGGGAAAATCTTCCCTTACTAATGTTTTGATACTTTTTGAAGAGATTACTGCTTATGTAGATGAAGGTAAGGATGTGGATTTTCAGAAAGTAGTTGACAAAGTGCCACATAAAAGGCTTATTACAAAAAAAATTATCTGTATAGATTTTGGGAATTAGTTGGCTTATTGAATAGAAGAGTAGCTGGATGGACGGAAGCAGGCAGTTGTTATAAATGGAGTTCAGTCAAACTGGATTAATGTCACACGAGGGGTACCTCAGGGCTCAGAGTTCTAGACCTTTGCTCTTTTTCACTTAAATAAGTGGCATAGAGGACAGAATGATGAATAAATTGTCATTAGTAGATGTTGATAGCTTTAAGGATGCTGATGCTCCTTTACAAAAGGATTTAGATTATTTGGTAAGTTGGCCAAATAAATGGCAAATGGGTTTTAATTATAAATGTAAGGTAATTCATGTGGGTTTTCATAATTTAAATTATAATTTTGATGGCAATGGCCTTAACAGTGTTAGGGAAGAAAAGGATCTTGGTGTTCTTGTTGATTAGTCTCTTACACCATCCAAGCAGTGTGCTGTTGCTAATGGTAAAGTACATAGAATCTTGGCTTGTATCTACATAAATATTGAATACGAGTCTAAAGTTGTTATAATCTCTTTGTATCAGTCATTGGTTATGCCTCATTTGGAGTATTTTATTCAGTCTTGGGTTCTTACCATAGGAAGGACATGGAAATATTGCAAAGGGTTTGGAAAAGGGCTAAAAATGTGATACCTTAGATGAACAAGTTAAGAGGACAAGTTAAGATCTCTGAAATTGTTTTCTCTTGAAAAAGAAAGTGTTGTGATCTGATTGAGGAGTTTAAAATTGTTAAGGGAATTAATAGTGTTAATGCATAATCTTTTTTTGTACTTAAAGGTAAGAATGTTAGGAGTAGGGGGGTACAAATATAAATTTTTGTAGGGTAGAAGTCATCTTTAGCTAAGGCAGTTTCATTTTTCTAAAAGGGTGGTTGGCCTTTGGAATGGGTTGCCTTTAGATGTGGTGGAAGCAGTAAATATAAGGGAATTTAAAGGATGGCTTTAAAAGTATTTGAATGATGAGAGCTGCCTTTGAGGTTTTATTTTAATAGTTATTTTAGTAGATGGGAAAGTTAGAATTGCCAACATTTTTTTTTCCTTAAGTGTTATAAGGGGACCAACATTGTTCACAGTATTCCAAGTGAGGCCGAAGTAGTGATTTCTATAAAGAACTAAGTACTGATTTATTTGGAATCTTATTAGAAGGATGAGAAAGACAGAAAAACATGCAAATGTATTTAATAATCTTCAATCATTTTTAAACGAACCGATCCCATCAGTGATATATATATATTGTACATATAATGTAAGGCAGTGTAATGGGTAAGCTTAATTGTGCATAATTGATATGTTAATAAAACAAATATATAAATATGTATATATACACACATATATATCTAAGTATATGAAATTAAGTGAGTAATTTAGAATAAGGAGAGTTAGTAAGAATCAAATTTCACTGGCAACGAGTAAGTTTTCTTGTACGAGTAGCTCATAATCAGAAGATCTCGAGACCATGATGTAAAAATTATCAATATTAATAGGGTGATTGTGTTTGTCTCTGTGTAGTTAAATTGAGGCCAGTGTTAATGGGGTTTAACAGTGTTTTTTAAGTCTTTATTAATACTCCCACATGTTCATAGGCATGGATTTTTTAATTGATGTTTAGATTTGCCAATATGGGTAGCATTACACTCACCACAGATGTATTTGTAAACCACCCATGAACACGGAGGAGTAGTTAGCAAGTCTGTATTTTAAAACAAGTTATGAGTTATGAAGAAAGACCTAAGAATTAAAATTATCTTGAATTATTGCTAAATTATTTTAATTCACTACTGTAATTACTTCATAAAACTAGCAAAAGTTGTTGCATCTGTGTACGTTTCTGAACAGTCTCAATTGTTGATGTTTACTCCTGTTGCACTAAGGTGTTACTAATTTTGTTAAAAAAAACATTTAAACTCCTGAAATGGTATATTCTTTAAAATATAAGGTTACCCTGTGTTATGTTAATGTTCTTCTGGTCATCAACTTTTATGCAGGGCCACAATGATAATACTTTGTAAGGGGAGTTTGGCTGTGAATTTACTTCTGTCACCCTTTATCTTTCAATTTATCTTATATTCCACATAATGTCTTTAACATATTATGTTATTTATTTATGTTACCGTTTACTTTCAATATGTTCTCCCCAAAAAGAAAACATGCTTTTTAATATTCATCTTATGGAAACAAGACTTTTATCGTAAATACAACATATTGTTTATAAATTATTTCAGGCTCAATATGATTCTGTTGTAAATGTTTGGTTAGTCCGTGGTAGAGCTGGGTAATTAACTCAATTAAATCGATGTTATCAAATACCTAAGAATATCGATTACATCAATTAGTTTCATGTAAAATAATGAATTAATTGAAATTGTGATTAAATATGTTAATTTTGCAAAAATAATCAACTAATCAAATATAGTGTTTTGGATTATTCCAACTAATCAAGTAATTTAAATATTGCCATTATGATTGCTCGTTATTATTTCCAATTAATATAAGGTTGTTCAGCTTAATTGACTAGTGTTGCTGATTGGTAATATTTTTTATTATTTCAATTATCCAAGTCTTAGAATAATTGAGTAGTTGAATGTAATCAATTAGTGATCCAATAACACAGGCCAGCGAATTTAAAGTTCATAAAAGTTGTTTTGGTTTTAATAATGGATTTTCCATAATTCAGCTACGTAGATTTGGAATAAAAAACTTACTTGGATCAAATTATTATTTTGTTTACCACAATGAATATTTTTTATTATTTCAATTATCCAAGTCTTAGAATAATTGAGTAGTTAAATGTAATCAATTAGTGATCCAATAACACAGGCCAGCGAATTTAAAGTTCATAAAAGTTGTTTTGGTTTTAATAATGGATTTTCCATAATTCAGCTACGTAGATTTGGAATAAAAAACTTACTTGGATCAAATTATTATTTTGTTTACCACAATGAATATTTTTTATTATTTCAATTATCCAAGTCTTAGAATAATTGAGTAGTTAAATGTAATCAATTAGTGATCCAATAACACAGGCCAGCGAATTTAAAGT